TGCCTTCAACGTTGATCTCGAGCCTGTTAGCGATCTCCAACAGGACTCTCTTGACTCTTGCGATAGACGTGTTGCCGCCGTTGCACAGCCCCTCCATCTCCTTCCTCGTGAAGCGACCAGATGCCGCCGTCGACTTGATGATGATCTTGATCTCCTTGCCGTCCTTGCCGCCTGCCTTCTTCTGCATCCTTGATGCCTTCTTCAACTTATTTCTGGACACAAAGCGATCAGCTGTCAACTCGACTGCGAGCGCCTCTCTGATCTTCGGGTCCTCGCTGAACAGAGTCAGGTGTACTCCCTCCATCGCTTCGCTCTCTCGGAAAGCTCGAAATGCTGTATCATTCGCCTCTGGGCAGCTCGAGGAGACGATCCACTCCACCTCCCTCTGTCTCCAGATGACGTTGGCCCCTACAGCGATGAAGCCTTTCTGACCTAAGCCTTTGTGGACTTGCTGTCCTGGCGCCCCAGCGACCAGCATGCCTGCCAGCGGCTGGAGTTGGACCGCTGCAAGGGACTGGCGCAGCAGCTGATAGCGATAGACGGCAGCTATCTCAGCCGTTGTCATGCCGCCCAAGGTTAACAGGTGGGTCAGCTCTGCCAAGCTGCCCCCTTTGCCCCAGGGTCCTCTCTTGGCTCGAATCTTGAAAGATCGATCGTGCACGATGCTCACATGTACAGCTGTGAACTTGCGACCATCGATCGCGAAGTCCTCTCTTCCCTGCCAGAGCTTCTCCGCTTGTGCATTGCGGAGGAAGGAAACAGTCACCGGGATCTCCTCAGCACTCGCCGTATCTCGGGTCTATACGGAGCCTTCCACATGATTGCTTTACTCTCTTGCACTGAGTCTACGATCAGTCCGATCTCTTCAAATTTCTTCTTCAGCTTTTCTTCATGGTTGACATACACCGAGGAGATGCCCAGGAGAGTCATGGAGATGAAGGAAGTCACCTCGTTGCCTGCTGAGGCGGTGTATGTCTCGACCTTCTCCTTCTTGGCTTCTTCAATCTGCTGCATAAACCACTCTCTGGATGCGTCACTCCATCCAGCCATCGCTTCTTGCAGAAGCTCACGTCGTGCCTGCTGACATGTCGAGCGGATGGCTTCTGCGATAGCGTCGGGGGTGCATCCCTCCACAGCCTTGCAAGCCTGGGCTGTCCTGCTGTTCGGATAACGCTTCGCGAAGCTCTTCACCCTCTCGACGAGATCAGCTTCGAGGACAGAGGCATCCACAAGTCCGCTCTGCGTGTATTGGCATGATCTCCGATACAGCAGGTTGCGAACATTTTCATCATACTGAAGAACCATACTTAGAAAGCTATTTGAAGTATACAAACCTCTCGCTTGCAGCTTCCTTGGCGCCCTGGCAGCTTCCCCTACACCTGGCAAGGAGCCATGCTGCCGAAAATAACGGCGCCTGCCGAAAATAACCCTATTATTATTATTATTATTATGTGAGTTTATTAGAATGCTAGAATGTTGCTCGGCCTCGTTGTGGGCTTATGCAATTTGATCGAAAATAACGGCGCCTGCCGAAAATAACGGCGCCTCCGCCGAAAATAACGGCGCCTGCCGAAAATAACGGCGCCTCTGCCGAAAATAACGGCGCCTGCCGAAAATAACGGCGCCTGCCGAAAATAACGGCGCCTGCCGAAAATAACGGCGCCTGCCGAAAATAACGGCGCCTGCCGAAAATAACGGCGCCTGCCGAAAATAACGGCGCCTGCCTAAACCCTAAACCCTAAACCCTAAACCCTAAACCCTAAACCCTAAACCCTAAACCCTAAACCCTAAACCCTGGCGGCTTCCCCTACACCTGACGAGGAGCCATGCTGCCGAAAATAACGGCGCGCTGCCGAAAATAACGGCGCTAAACCCTAAACCCTATTATTATTATGTGAGTTTATTAGAATGCTAGAATGTTGCTCGGCCTCGTTGTGGGCTTTCGCAATTTGATCCTAGTCTAAAGAGGCGCTCGAGCACTGGGAGTACACGGCCTACAATGCGAACCCTGCTTCTGAGGCGTCTTTCTACTTTCTACTTCTGCTGTCTTCTCTTGGCTTCCTCAGCCTCAGTCAGGAGAGTTGCCTCTCCTCACCTTGGCCTTCGGTCACCACCTACTCTACCTCCATTCAGCTTCCTCAGCCTCAGTCAGGAGAGTTGCCTCTCCTCACCTTGGCCTTCGGTCGCCACCTACTCCTCCTCCATTCAGCTTCCTCAGCTTCAGTCAGGAGAGTTGCCTCTCCTCACCTTGGCCTTCGGTCGCCTCCACCTTCTCTACTTACCTTGAGCTCAGCTCAAGCTCGGTACGGGCTCGCCCCGTCTTCTTCCTCGCCCTCGCCTTGCTCTTCCTCCATGTCTTCCTCTTCTTCGTCATCTTCCCTCATCTCCACTCGCAGTCGGTCCTTCTTGTCCACCTTCAGCGAGCAGGCCAGCACATGCATCTCTGCGAATTTACTCAGTGCTATGAACAGGAAGCTAAGAGATCGACGCTCTATGTCGTCGCTCTCCGCCTCCTGCTCAAGCTCAGCAGCTGCCGTTGCCCGTGGCGAGAACGCGCTGCCCCTCCTTGCCTTCTTGCTCTCTCCTTGCACGCGAGTCCAGCGCTTGCTCTGCAGCCACTTCCCCAGCTTCTCCTTGAGAACGTTGCGCCCAACTCCCTGCTCCTCTGGCATCTTCGCCCACTCTCCCAGCGACATGAACTCCAGGCTCCCCGGAGAGTAGAAGGTGTCGTGGAGGTTGCCAACGGCCTTGTCCAGGACCAGCTTGATCGGCTCGCTCGTCCCTGCCTCGTTCAAAGAAGCTGCATCTTCGATGACTGCTGACAGCTCGCTGACGAGCTGCATGTCCTCTTGGCTTGACGGAGATGCTGCCTCCATTGTGATCCTCTCCAGGTCTGTAAACTCCAGCCACTCTCCCTCGCTCTCCTCCTGTCGCTGTGCTGCGTCGCTGGTGCCCCGCTGACCAGCCGCCTCAGGCTCCTTGTCGAAGCCGACTGCTTCGAGCTTGGTTGCTGCGCCTTCGAGATAGAAGGGCAGCTCCTTCATCATGCGTCGAGCATCCTCCGTGGAGCCGAGGAGGATGCATAGCTTGGACCCGTTCCAGGACTTGGTGTTCCAATCCTCCTCCATGTCGATGCCTTCAACGTTGATCTCGAGCCTGTTAGCGATCTCCGACGGCAACAAGACTCTCTTGACTCTTGCGATAGACGTGTTGCCGCCGTTGCACAGCCCCTCCATCTCCTTCCTCGTGAAGCGACCAGATGCCGCCGTCGACTTGATGATGATCTTGATCTCCTTGCCGTCCTTGCCGCCTGCCTTCTTCTGCAGTCTTGATGCCTTCTTCAACTTATTTCTGGACACAAAGCGATCCGCTGTCAACTCGACTGCGAGCGCCTCTCTGATCTTCGGGTTCTCGCTGAACAGAGTCAGGTGTACTCCCTCCATCGCTTCGCTCTCTCGGAAAGCTCGAAATGCTGTATCATTCGCCTCTGGGCAGCTCGAGGAGACGATCCACTCCACCTCCCTCTGTCTCCAGATGACGTTGGCCCCTACAGCGACGAAGCCTTTCTGACCTAAGCCTTTGTGGACTTGCTGTCCTGGCGCCCCAGCGACCAGCATGCCTGCCAGCGGCTGGAGTTGGACCGCTGCAAGGGACTGGCGCAGCAGCTGATAGCGATAGACGGCAGCTATCTCAGCCGTTGTCATGCCGCCCAAGGTTAGCAGGTGAGTCAGCTCTGCCAAGCTGCCCCCTTTGCCCCAGGGTCCTCTCTTGGCTCGAATCTTGAAAGATCGATCGTGCACGATGCTCACATGTACAGCTGTGAACTTGCGACCATCGATCGCGAAGTCCTCTCTTCCCTGCCAGAGCTTCTCCGCTTGTGCATTGCGGAGGAAGGAAACAGTCACCGGGATCTCCTCAGCACTCGCTATCTCGGGTCTATACGGAGCCTTCCACATGATTGCTTTACTCTCTTGCACTGAGTCTACGATCAGTCCGATCTCTTCAAATTTCTTCTTCAGCTTTTCTTCATGGTTGACATACACCGAGGAGATGCCCAGGAGAGTCATGGAGATGAAGGAAGTCACCTCGTTGCCTGCTGAGGCGGTGTATGTCTCGACCTTCTCCTTCTTGGCTTCTTCAATCTGCTGCATAAACCACTCTCTGGATGCGTCACTCCATCCAGTCATCGCTTCTTGCAGAAGCTCACGTCGTGCCTGCTGACATGTCGAGCGGATGGCTTCTGCGATAGCGTCGGGGGTGCATCCCTCCACAGCCTTGCAAGCCTGGGCTGTCCTGCTGTTCGGATAACGCTTCGCGAAGCTCTTCACCCTCTCGACGAGATCAGCTTCGAGGACAGAGGCATCCACAAGTCCGCTCTGCGTGTATTGGCATGATCTCCGATACAGCAGGTTGCGAACATTTTCATCATACTGAAGAACCATACTTAGAAAGCTATTTGAAGTATACAAACCTCTCGCTTGCAGCTTCCTTGGCGCCCTGGCGGCTTCCCCTACACCTGACGAGGAGCCATGCTGCCGAAAATAACGGCGCCCTAAACCCTAAACCCTATTATTATTATTATTATGTGAGTTTATTAGAATGCTAGAATGTTGCCTAAAACCCTAAACCCTAGACCCTTAACCCTCGACATTCCTCCAAGAGCTAGGAGCTGCGATAGCTCGGCAAGGCTCCCTCCCTTGCCCCAAGGTCCTCGCTTGGCTCGGAGCTTGAACGACCTGTCGTGTGCAATGCTGACTTCAGTTGCTCTGAAAACTCGCCCGTCGATGCTGTACTCTCTGCTGTGCGATGGCTCATTCCGAAGGAAGCCTCGGAGATGGTGAGATGTCGTACTGCTCGTGCTATCTCAGGTCTGTAAGGTGCTTTCCACATGATGGACTTGTCGTCTCTATCGACTGAGTCTACTATGAGTCCCAGCTCCGTCAACTTCATTTTCAATTTGTCTTCTTGTCGCACATACATCGAGGAGATGCCCAGGAGAGTCATGGAGCCTCGGAGATGAAGGAGGTCTCCTCGGTGTCTTCGGTGCCGATGTAAGTCTCGACATTCTGCTGTTTGGCCTCTTTCATCTGTCTGCAAGCATGAGCTGTCCGACTATTCGGATAACGCTTGGTGAAGCTCTTCACTCTCTCGACGAGGTCGGCCTCCTCGACGTGGCCTCCTGAGCGCTCACCCTGCGTGTATTGGCATGATCTCCGATACAGCAGGTTGCGAACCGTTGAACGCTCTCATCATACTGTAGTACCATACTTAGAAAGCTGTTTGAACTGCACAAACCTCTTGCTCGCAGCTTCCTCCGGTGCCCTTGCGCTCTCCCTACGCGCCACAGAGCAGCATGCCTCTGTCAACGGGCCCGGCCCTAAACCCTAAACCCAAAAGAACCCAACTTAACTTGGAGTAAAACTCTATCATTGGCGGAAAGACACCGGTACTAGACCCTTTTATCGCGAGTTCCACCCCCTCAGGGCCCCATCCGAGTCCTAAACCTCTAAACCCTTCCCCCGGCCCGGGCCGGCCCGGAGCCTCGGAGCTCGGAGAATTCTTCACCTTCTCTCATTTTTTAGATTTTTGTTCAGGCGCTTCACTACAAACAATAGTTGGAATAAGTACCATACTAATATAAACCAGTACAAACTTGAACATGATCATTCGTACCATGTCACAACAACAATAATGAATTTCCGTACTAATCTTTTTGTACCAAGAACAAGATTCTTCTCAGGGGTGGTAGGGGTGCTTTTTGGGACCAAAGGTCATATTTCACCGGTATAGATCTGAACCACCTTGACTCATTTCCAAGGGTGGGTCAACCATCGTGCAGAACCTGTATAGGTTGGGGTGGGTCAGTCCTGCAAGACGTGAAATGGAAGCGCTAGCTATCCTCTGTGCTGATACATCTTCGTCGGCGACACATGCAGTGGTGAGAGATGTTGTTGCTGGCAACGATTCAAAATCAATGTTGGATCATTTTGTGCGGTCATCATTTCGTGTCTGTCTCCATCTTCCAAAAACATATTATGTGTAAGTAAGTTTGTCTTGATTGACACTTCATGCAAACAACCGTAAAACACATGTATAACTTAACTTGTCGCCCTGTGAACTCAATTTGACCCTTTTAATGACAGCTTGGCCACGCACTGCACGGAAATACTCATCCCCACCATCTGGTAAGCAGTCCAATCTTCGTCTGCTGTTTGATAATGTTATCAACTAGACCGGTTTGTCCGAAAAGCCTGGTGTGTACGACAATGTTCTGGAGCATGAGGATTCTCCTGTGTATGATTCCTCGCCACATATCTGGCACCACACAGAAGTGAGCAATTAGACATTGACGTGGCTGGTTTTTGAAAGTGATTTCTTGTAGCCGGTCGACATCTCTCCGGATGAGCCGTACAGCTGTTACCCCTTGCCTTGTGATGCAGTCAAGGAATCTTCAATGCTGTCCTTGAGCAATCACATCAATACGCCTCAAGACACAAACTCTCTTCAGTTCATCGGCAGTGTTGGTGTCGGCGGTGGCCAGGGAAACAGTGATTGCATCTATGGTTCCTGTGACGACCATGATACGTAAAGATTGATGATCAACTTGATTCCGCTTGGGTGACTGTTAGCAATAGCTTTGGCGTCGCTGGTCATGGATGGTATGGTCCCGGCAATGGAGAGGATCCTGGCGATCTCTGGGTAAATCGTCGATATTTGTTAAAAGTTGCTCTGACCTCCTCTTGTAAACAGAACCCTGCAGTTGCCACTCATACTGGTATGCAGACCAAGATGGCTCTGGCTGCTCCAGTTGCTGCTTCTGGTCATGATTGGCCGCATATTTGCAAGCTTGAATTAACTTTCGCAACAGAACTTGGTGGAGCTCAAGTGAAGAAGTCCCGCCCATCTCCAGGTCACTTCATCTTGATGGGTGATAGCTATCTTGCACCATCCCGAAGCATCTGATTGTGTGGAAAGGTCACGCAATGCTCTACGGTATCGTCAGTGCCTCTACCAATGCCAAGGTCTTGTGTGGAGAAGAGTCTTGGACCAACTGGTAATCCTTCATCAAAAGTGTAGTGGCCTCCTGGTGAAACCTGGATTTAAACAGCTTCAAGCAATGCTCCACTGAAGCAGCTGACGCCATCACGCCCGTTGGAGGGTATAAGATTTTCTCATGTGAAAGGTTTTCTGAATGCAACACAGATTCCTCCTAAAGGAGAAAGTGTTTGGTCATTAGAATGACATCAAGCAGATTGGCCTTCAAGAGTTGTTGGGTTCCTTCATTGCCCCAACATGAAACGCATCAAAATGATGTGTTGGTTGTTCACGTGGTTAGATTGTTTCAAACCAAGGCAACAACTTGCTTCATAACTCACAAATAGTACATTAACAATCTGTTGCATGAGCATTACTTCAACACTCTGACATCAATGCTAGCCACTGCCCACAAAACAACAATATCAGCAAATTTTCAGCTAAGAAAGTTTACTTTCTTTAGTAGAAATGTATCATGTGAGCTCAATATGTCACGGTAACAGGGGGGAGGCTTGGCGCGAATGTGCCATCCGACCGCAAACAGCCAGAACCCTCGCCGTTGAAGCTGGAACAACAATCACGGAATTGAACATGACACAAAGGTTGCAGATTGCCGTACAGTGTACAGTACTGCTGGTTGTTTCCGGGAGGACTGTCGTTGCTGTCGATTGGTGTATTCGTGAAAAGACCATTCGCATTGTGCTCATTCATTTCCTCCTGAACAAAGCATTAATCATGTTTTTTTCTATACCGCGATATGCAGAAGAACCTGAGAAAACGAAAGCATGGACATCCTAAAAAAATCCATCTTAGACGAAAGGGAAAGGTTCAGGGTTTAGGAAAAGGAAAGGTTCAACCATAGGTAATGAGAATCAGAGATGTGCGCGAGGTTGCATTGCTCCTCAAGTAGAGCAAAAGGAAACATGACATTGACATATTTCAAATGAACAGATAGGCTCGACCAAACAATCACTGCAAGCATTATCCGTAAGTCAAACCTGAGCTGCATGAGCTTCCTGGCATCGTCGAACATGGCTGCCGCAACCCCTTTTAGAAATCAATCCACATCCCCACTCAAGCCCAGTTATCCCGGCAGCCTTTGAGTAAAACCTACTGGGCAGCCTACCGAGTTACCCCACATTCGATAACTAGAACGCGCGTATACGGACCCCTCCATTTATGGATAGAAGAACCAGTACCCCCACCGTCCTTTTGAACCTTACATCTCAACTGCCGAGCAACGGCAACGCTCGATTCCATGCGGCTGAAAACGCATGCGGACACCTCTGAATATGAAGGGAAGATGGAACGAGTGTAGCGAAAGGCAAAATACTTTCAGATTACAAACAGAAGCAACCACAAGTTGAACAAGAAGCAGAAGGCATGTGATGGACATTAGATCGAACGAACACCATTACGATTAGATTAGAACTCAGGAAAATCTTACACTCTTAGCCTTCAGAAAGTCACCACCTATCGAGCATGTATATGACCAAAAGGAAATATTCACATATGTGTCTTCTCATGGAACAATGTTGAGGTTTTGAATCTTGTCTGAATGATGATAGTTCGATTTGATTTTATTATCCGCAGAACTTGCAAGCGTAACACCTTATCGTTCAGGTTGTTCGGAGATTTCGTCGCACCCTTTCTGAGTAAAAGGAACGGTCAAGAGATCTACATTATCCCTGATCAGATCAACTGTGATAACTGAATATGTCACGAGCGGTCTTGCAAGTATTTGAACAGTATCAGAAAGCAAGAGTTACTTTTGTACAGACTGTAGCAGATCTTTCGACACGTCCTCAAAATGTGGAGGCATTGCAGAATGCTGATGTGATGTCTCTGCTTCGACCATTGTTACTTGATAATGTGCCAAGTATACAACAATCTGCAGCTCTTGCTCTGGGGAGGTTAGCGAACTACAACGATGATCTTGCGGAGGCGGTTGTGGGAAACGGCATTCTCCCACAGTTGGTGTATTCCCTCTCGGAAAAGAACAGGTTTTACAAGAAAGCAGCGGCATTTGTCCTACGAGCGGTCGCGAAGCATTCTCCTCAGCTCGCTCAAGCAGTCGTGGATAGCGGTGCCTTGGACGCGCTAGTCGGTTGCCTCGAAGAGTTTGACCCATCCGTGAAGGAAGCAGCTGCTTGGGCTTTAGGCTACATTGCACGCCATAATGCTGAGCTGGCTCAAACTGTGGTCGATGCTGGTGCTGTCCCTCTTCTCGTCCTTTGCGTTCAAGAACCTGAGCTGACGCTAAAGAGGATTTCAGCGTGTGCTTTGAGCGACATCGCAAAGCATTCACCGGAACTTGCTCAGTCTGTGGTAGATGCTGGTGCAGTCGCTTATCTGGCTCCTCTAATCCAAAGTGTTGATGGTAAGCTAAAGCGACATGTCTGTGCATGTCTGGCACAGATTGCAAAGCATTCGGTGGAACTTGCAGAAGTGGTTGTTGAAGCAGAGATCTTTCCAAAGATTCTTACGTGCTTGAAGGATGTAGATACACAAGTCCGAAAGAATTCTGCAACGTGTATTCGAGAGATAGCCAAGCATACACCGGAGCTGGCGCGCTTGATTGTCAATGCAGGAGGTGTCACTGCCATTGTAGACTATGTGAACGAAACTCGAGGAAATGCCAGGCTCCCCGGCATCATGACTCTTGGTTACATCTCTGCCTTCTCGGAGACACTTGCAATGGGTGTCATTGTGGCCAAGGGAGTTCCTCCTCTCATGGATGCACTCGTGAGAGAGCCTGAAGATCACATCAAGGCAGCAAGCGCATGGTCCCTTGGACAGATCGGAAGGCATAGCCCAGACCATGCCAAGGCGCTTGCTGTTCACAATGTCATCGGCAGGCTTCTTGCCGTTTACCTGAATGAGGACAGCAGTGAAGATTTGAAGACAAAGGCAAAGAGGGCTATGAAGGCCGTAATCCAGAAGTGCATCCATTTGGAGGCATTGGAGCCTCTCCTGTCCGATTCGCCCAGAAACATCTTGAAATACTTAGTTCATCAGTTTGCAAAAGTGCTTCCGAAGAATATGGACGCAAGAAAGGCATTTGTGACAAGTGGGGGCTTAAAAAAGGTGACATTTCTGATTCTTCTTCGCGTTTTTTAACTTCTATATCTGGTCAGATTCAGGAAATTCAAGCAGAGCCAGGCTCAAAATTACGAGAATACATCGACCAGATCAACGTCTGTTATCCCGAGGAGATTGTGAGATACTACTCTCCCAATTACGCCCAAGGATTGCTCGAGAAGCTTGACAACTTTCAGCCTTGAGCAGGAAGCAACCTACTTGCAACGTGGGACGTGGTGCAGAATGTAAAAATAACTGATAGAAATGCAAGAAGTAAATAGCCTGTTGAGACTCATCACAATTTGCATAACACGCTCAACATGGTATGTACTATCATACCAGGCACCACTTTCCAGCACCATATTGAAAGATCAGTCGCCAAACAACGGTCACAGGAACTGCCATGGAATAATTGCCGCCCCAGCTTTCTGAATCTCAACCTATGTGTGAAACTGTAATTTCCACCGCATGATCCAGGGTTTAAATAAATACTCTTGAAATTTCGTGACTCATCAAGTGTGACAGCTCGAAATCTCGAAATCTCGAGGATTTACAGAGAGCGTCAAAGAGGTAGCACAAAAGCCACATTGCAAGAGGACAGAAGGATTGCGAAAAAATCATGCCAGTTATCCATAGTCGCTCTGTTGTATCAGCTCTCCAGCGACCCTCGCGTGCAAGTTGGAAACGGCAGGCCAGGACGGTCACTTGGCTACGGACTCAGGCGGCTATGAAATCCGCAGCAATGACTGATCACTCGGTTCGGATTCGACTGCAATCGTGTCAGTCAGATACGACCAGACCGCGGGGCCGCCGGTCCGCGGGAAGCATATGACTAACTTGAAAACCGCCGTCTGGGTACTGAGCCTGTGGGTGCGGCTATAAAGACTTTCTTGTCCTGAAAATTTTCTGCTTGCTGCGAGCACAATTTTTCGTTGTCTAGGGATCGTAAATCAGAAAATCGGTATTAGTTTTTGAAAGTAGCAAACAAAAGCATGAAATCTCACATGGTTGGTGGCATAACATTTCAAACAGGGGGGTTCGGGAGGCCACAGCGCTCTCGGCAGGTAGAACCTTGCCTTTCCATCCGGGACTCGATAAAGCTTTAGTATCCCCCTTAGTTTTTTGCGTCTCTGGACATTTTCTTTTCCAGGTGGATGCAACCTGAATCCTTTGGAGAGAGTGGTTCGAATAAGGTACATGGGGAACCTGCAAAGCTATCTGAATGAAAGTGATAAGCATTACAGCATATTTCACCTCTGCAGGCCATCTGGACTGGATGCCAGGAGCGAAGAGTTGACAAGCACCTAGAAACACATTCACTTGCCCGCAATACTTGAAAGATTGTATCGTCATACCGTTACATTGACCATGCACGAGTACACCAGCAACTCAGTCGAATTAAGATAGCGGACGCGAGAAGACCGACTGCACAGTTACATTACAAAAACAGGAAATTTGAATGAATCAGGAAGATATCACCGCAAATTCTGCAAAGTATATTTGTCTTGCAAAAGGGCCCGACTGGCTTTTGCTGGGGTGCAAGGTATTGCCTTCCGTCGAGGTCTGGGAAACGTTTCAACTATGATTTCTCATGAGCAAACATCAAGATCACCGATTGAAATGCAAGGAGTATTTTTCTACCATCTTGCGAGCACGAAAGTTCGTCTGATCGTATTGTGTTGCATTCAAATAACACTGGAATGCACGAAGCTGGCTTCCGCGGCGTACCAGCATATCCCCGCAGAACTCATACCTCTTAGAAATCGCTTGCATAATTACTTTCTGTTTTAAATTTTTGTTGCCCGTGAATTTCTCCATTTTTTTCTTGAACGTGACTAGCGAGCCTTCAACGTATCGCTTCAGGAGCTCCTGAGCACTCGGTAGACGAATCCCTTCTGACCTCCATTTCTTATACTGAGCTCTTGCAGAGGAAAGTTTTCGCTGGTACCAGTCTACTTCCAACAAGGGTGGTTTTGATTCTTTGTGAGTAATTGTTGCAGGGGCGTCCATGAAGATGTTCTTGATCAACTGCTCGTTACTGCCGGTCATCTCCTGAGATTGGGGTGAGTTTCCCTGGATCTCTTCGAGGAACGCTTTTCTGCCTTCGGCTCCTTTGATCAAGTCTTCGAACCTTGTCCATGCATCACTCTTACCTCCACCACGAAGTCGCATCTCGTGAAGTGATATCAACTTGACTCTCTGCAACCTCGTGTCCGCGTCGAGCCTCTTTCCAAACAACATGATGAAGAAGAAAATCAAAAGCAAGCGACGATTATTTCTCACGAGCGTGTTGGCGATGCAAGTCATGGAAGTATGGTCCATTCAAAGACAGAGATGTCTCGAGCTGTCAGCTACAGTTCACCAGCAACTTGCTCATCTTCCAGATTCTTTCTGCATGCTGCATGGCTGGTCGCATTCCAGCGAGCCCGGGGCCGGGGCCGGGCCTGGCAGGCCTTCCCCGGGCCCCGCATGAGACTACAAGCCTCCTCTTGATTGTCCTCGTACTGATTTTTAACTTAACTTTGAGTAAAGACTTGGTAGACTTTGAGTAAAGAAGTCACCAGAAAGAAGGGTATTAGTGAGTCATCAGTTGCCCCTTGTCCCGTAGGGTCGGAACTTCCCCTTGCTACAGCAACAAGATAAGCCGAGGGGGTAGGGTGGTCTAGTTCAGAGACTCGGGGGTATGGGGGGTAGCTGTACGGAAGACCACCCCTCTTTGCCCGTATTACCACGCCGCTCACTGACTGAGATATAAATTTATATGTATCAATGCAGGAGGGCACAAGAAGTGTGATCGGGGACATGTCCATCACGCCATCGCATACCATTATCCATTAGAAACATCGTCTCAAAGAAACACATATCTTAAGCCTAGACACATCATGCATCGAGCGACCTGCTAAAGGCCAAGAATTCGTGGGAAATATTGCTTATCATGGGCAAAAGGTTAATCTTTTCCCTCTTTTCGACATCGCGAAACTCGTTCTTCTCCCATGCTTGTTTGTTGGTGCTCTCGCTTGCCATTCCGCTGCTGGCCTTAGAAAAGCAACCTCCTGTTCTCCTAAATCCTCTCTTAGGAAATGATTTTGAAAGTATTCTCAAATTTGATTTGAATTTTCGTTCCAAGATGAGAACAAATCTTATACATCCCCGGCATTATGATATCTCAGTACTATCCGGCTTGGCTTCATACAAAATGAAATTTCACCGCAAGCAAGTGTTAATACAAACATCGAAGCATGGCAGATCTCAAACAAAGCAGGATGTTGAAGCTTTTCTTGGAAGTAGAGTGTACAGGTACATTCCGACAGATACATACATTGTCGAAGCAAGTGAAAGGGAGATATTGGAACTGAATAAGATCCAAGGTGTCGTCGGCGTGAGGGATATTCCATCGATCATTAAATTCTCCGACGCGATCTTAGAACAACTTGATGCTGCAACTCCCAAGTCACCAACTCACGATAAGTTTGATCACACGTTTGATGGGTGTAGCCAATTCGATGGTACTCAATGTAAGATCTACTCGATACAGCTGAGCAGGATGGAAGGCTCCTCGTTCATTGAGGGAGTGGCTCACGTGATGCGACCACTTAAGGGTGTAGCGCTGTTGCGAGCTCTTTCTCCATCTTCAGCAATAGTAAGACCCAGCATTGCCTCTTCGTCTGGCTAACTTCATGGCCAGGTGTTGCTTGAAGTGATGGAAGACTATTCTGGTGTAATCCTCCATTGGCTTTCGTCCTTGGCTGAAGTGAAATGGATCGGACCTTTCTCAGAACGGAAGCTGAGGGTGATGAGGAACGAGCTTGATCCACGTACCAAGAGAGATACGACATTGAGGAACGTCTATGTTGTAGAGCAGATATTGGGTCTTCCTCGATCTCAAATTGCAAGTTTATCTGGCAAGGGCCAACGAGTGGCAGTAACAGACACAGGTATTTCCGATGAATCTCCTGACATTTGTTGAAGTTTTCCTGCATTTTTCCCGTAATTTCCTGCATGCTCAATTCGAATGCTTTTTGATGACTTATACTGCTTGTCTAGGTATCGACTATGGCCATTGCTTCTTCTATGATCCAAACAATCGTGTAGACGTCTGTGTAGAAAGTGAAACCTCAACATGTAGCTTCCAGGGTTCCACCAATCGTAAGATCTTCTCGTATACAGTCATGCAGGATGCAGTTGTCGGAGACGTTGTTGATGGTCATGGGACACATGTGTGCGGAATTGTTGCTGGAAATGCAGATGGACAACCCAATTCAGAGTTTGTGACGATTCAGAATGGAGTAGCACCTGATGCTAAGCTTGTGTTTCAAGATGGCGGTGGCTCTCAGGCTTCTGACTCGCTGAGTGTCCCCCAAGACCTCGAGCGCTATGTCTACTCTACAGCCTACGGGGAAGGAGCTCGAGTGCATAGCAACTCGTGGGGAGGGGATGTGAACCAGTATACGATGGATGCATTCAACACTGACGATTTTATTCACTCGAATCCTGATTACGTGGTTGCCTTTGCTGCTGGCAATTCCGGGCCAGATCCTGCTACTGTGACGGATCCAGCAGTAGCGAAGAACATTATATCCGTCGGGGCATCACAAGGATTAGCAGAGAGTGGGTTGTTCACCCAATCAATTGGTCAAGTTTTGGTTCTTTACGAGGGCAACGCTTATGTGATGGATATGTCTCCTGCCCTTTTTGGGCCTCCAATCTATCGGACGTATAGTGTGAAAGGAGATTTGGTTGCTGCTGAGCCTGCTGATGCCTGCAGTCAACTAGAGAATCCAGAAAGCTTGGCAGATAAATTTGTTCTTGTTCGCAGAGGCTCCTGCACCTTCTCTCAGAAGAGTGCTTTCGTGCAGAATACAAGTGCGATAGGCATGATCGTCTACAACAATGATTCTACGAGGAGCGATTTAACGATTTCTATGGCTCCAGCAGACAAATTTCAACCGAAGATTCCTTGCCTAATGATTTCGTTCAACGATGGGAAAGCTCTCAACAACATCCTAAATCAAGACTCAAATTCTCTTGCCATTGAACTTCCTTCAATCTCAATGTTAAGGATGGACGTCGCTAGTTTTTCTTCTCGAGGACCCACTTACGACGGACGGTTCAAACCTGACCTGCTTGCTCCCGGGTCGCAAGTTATCTCCGCTCGTTCCAAGGGAGAGCTGAACCAAACTTACTGCGGTTTGGACGCATTGATTGACATGTCCGGAACCTCCATGGCAGCCCCAGCTGTTGCTGGAGCAGCTGCTCTGCTCAGAGAGTTCTTCACAGCTGGTCACTCTTCTGCCGATGGCCTCACTTCTTGGCAACACGCGCCTCAGCCCTTCAACCCTTGTGCTGCTTTGATCAGAGCCATGCTCCTTCACAGCGCCAACCACATCGGGAGAGAGTCAGGCAGGTTGACGCCCTCGGAGGATCAGGGGTATGGTTTGATAAACCTCTCCTCCGTCCTGCGCATGGACAACAGCACTGAATATGTCCTCCGGGTTCAGGATGGTGTCAATGTTTCACAAGGCCAGGTGATATCTGTGTGTATCGATGTGAAGGAAAGCTCAGAGCTGCGAGTCACCATCGCATGGACTGATCCCCCTGCACATCCTTCCGCCTTCCGAGCGTTGATCAATGACGTTGACCTCACCGTCGTGGGGCCTGAAGGAGTGACAATGTATGGAAATGGCAAACAATTTCACAACAGCCTGTACGGAACGTACAACGTGCGAGACCGTTTAAACAACAATGAGCAGGTGAAGTTGTAACACTGTTGGTCCACTGCTGAGACTCCATCCAGGTTGTGTGGACGAAGCCCAAGAATGGAACTTACCTGCTTTATGTGTCAGGGAGGGACATTCCGGTGAATCCTCAGACAGTATCAATGGTGGTCACTGGAAACTTTGTGGTCAAAGGTTCTTGTCCTCCTCCTTCGTGTCCAAGCGGGTGCAAAGGAGCAGGGGAGTGCGAGGGAATTTATTGCCATTGCGACCTCTACCACATGGGGGAGGCTTGCGAGCTCTCTACCACCCCCCTCGATTCCGCCCATGCAGACTGGGTGGATCTCGAGCCGGGCGAGTCGACATTTTTGTACTTCAATGTGTCTTCTTTCAACCAGAGCTGGCGACTCGTGATCAACCCCGCAGACTCTGCTGCCCGATTTTCAGTGATGCTGGCCATCCACAAAAAGCCTTCGTATGCAGATCACGACTTGCTGCTGCGGCATGTCAGCGGAGACACAGAGATCACAAGCTCCAGCTTCTCTTTCAGCACACAAGGGGTTTGGGTGCTGGCAATTCACGCGTCTCTTTTCAACCAGTTTGCAGCCAGTGTGTACCTGGAGACATCTCCAGGAGGACATGGCGACCAGATCCCGGCCTCCACGAGCTCCGCAAGCTCCACCACCTCCTCCATCGAGACCATAACCACGACGACCGCGGCGGCGACAGTGAGAGCGGCTAGTGGATTGTGCATGATGACTGACTTGCTTGTCAGCCCTCGCCCTCTGCCCCCAAGACAGTAGTCACCTTCCAGGCTCAGATGCCCTTATCCTTGGCAGACTTTCAGCAAAAACAGTCGTTGTTCCTCGCTGCTGTCGCTAACACTGCTGGTGTCCCGCAGCGAGACGTTCGGTGACGAGCGACTTCCCTCTTGCCTCTTGTCACTCCCCTCGCAGGATTGTCAAGGTGACAGAGACTCAGTCCGCATCTTCTCCCGTAAGCAGAAGGCTGTCAACCTCGTCGAGCAACGTCGTTATCATGACGTCAATCACCTTGCCGACTGTGTCTACTGCCAACCAAGTTGTATCGAAGATCACCATGAGCAAGCTCAACGACAACCTCCAGAAGCAGGCAACTTGAACCCTATGGTTTCGTCTATCATGACGTGAACATCAACAGGGGCTTCCAAGGGCTATCATCGTCCAAGCTCCCTACATCGAATCTTCGGCTCCAGCTTCGTCAACGGCGTCAACGACTCCTCCTGCTACCTCTGCGGTTGATAATCACTCTCCTTCCTCTCTTGCTATGCTGGCACCTCTTCCCGTCTCACTGCACTCACCTTGCAGCAGACTTTCCCCTACACCGCCTGGATCGCTATAGGGTGTGGAGTAGCCTTCCTGTCTCTCGCTGTCCTTGCCGTCGTCGTCCACATGTCTCAGGCATCCTATTCTTCCCCCTTAGCCTGACAAGGATGGGCAGGAGAAGAAAGCGAGCGGCTGAGTTGGCTGATAACGTCGTTCATTCGGTAAATACGAAACTTTCTAAAACAGGTTCTGATACTTCACTCAGGCGAGAAGCCAACCAGGCGATGTTGGTGAGTACTTCCCATAGCTCTTAACTGCGTTTCTTCCTTCGCTTCTCATCCCTTCTCTCTGTTTCTTTACCTCACTGCCTTTGCCTCACTCCCTGCTCTCTCATCCCTCAATGTTCCGCTTCTCTCGTCTGATCTCGCTCGCTCTTGCTGCTTCCTCTCGTCTTGATGTCTGACTGTTCCCTTCCGCAGAGATGCAGAGCTACAACCTCGCAACAACCCACGGGATCATCACCATGCCGATCCCGACGGCTCCTCCACTGCTCGCCGTCAATGCAGACAATGTGTACATCGAGGAGGAAGAGACGAGTGATGCCGCTGCCACTGCCTCTGCACATCCTGAACGTAGATTCCGTCCCCTGGCTATGGCAGCAAGCAACGAAGACGATGACTCATGCGGAAAGAGAAAGTGACGATTGCAAAAGTTATGTTTGTAAGTCATGTCTGTCATGTAGTGAATGGTAAGAAGTGAAATGTTTGAACAATGTATAAGGTATTCTAGGTCAATATTTTTCCAATGCTGAGCAAACGTCTATTCCCCTTCGTCCCTCCCTCTTTTCATTCTCTCGCCTCTCACATGCTTCGTCCTGCTGCTGTCTCATGCTCCCTCAGTCTTCTCGGAGTTCTGTGGGCCAAGCGTCTCCATTTTCTGAGCGCCTGTGAGGGGGGGTGGAAGCGAAGCAACATCACCTTCTGGTTCTGGTAGAAGCGCATTTGCTCCCTGATCATCTCCGTCCTCTGCCTCACCTGCCACCGGCAAAGCCCCCTGCAGCCTCCCCGTCAGCCCGCGACGACACGCATCGCAACAAGCAGCAGCAAGGAGCAGGCAGGGCAAGACAGCGCAGGGTGAGGAGGCAGCAGAAGAGAACCAAGTTCCTAGCGCTGTGACAACAAAGACAGCAACTGTCTTGTTTCCGATATCGATCGCTGATTCTGAGCATGCAATCAGTCCGTTAACATGGAATGGGAGCAATCGAATGAATTGAGGGCAAGAAGGAGCAGCAGCAGTTTCTCCAAAGAAAGCAACGGGAGGTCATGGCCTATGTGCAGACAGAAAGGACTAAATGTATTGTGAAGATGATCCTAGCAGGAGAGGAGGAGGTTGCTGCTGTGTCACTGGCAGAGGATGTAAGCAGACGCACTTCGCTTGCGCGCGTCCATCAGTCCGAAGAAGGTCGCGATGGAGACGCTGTACATCATGGTCTCGCGGAAACAGGGCGCATGCCTGAAGTTCCACCATGTCGCTTCCGGCTCTGCAGTGATCACCTGAGCTGGCATGAGGTTGTAGACACGTAGACGGGAGGGGGGGAGGAGGAAGAGGAGGCACATGGAAGAAAACGCCTCAACCTCGCGCGTTATGGCGTTGCCCTGATTGTTGTCGCCCATGTTGATCCCGAAGACCTTGTGGCAGCCCATGTCAGAGGCGAGCGAAGAGAGCAGCAGCAGCGACAGACCCCACAACAAGGGAAGGAGGATGAAGGAAGGAACACCGAAGGAGTAGGGAGCCGATACAAAAATGCAGGGGCGGAGAGGCCGGAAGAAGAACAAGAGGTGGGAAGGAAGAGAGGGAGGAGGCGGAGAGATCATGGGGATAGCGGGAGAGGAGCGAGGAGGTGGAGAGATCATGGGGTTAGCGGGAGAGGAGCGAGGAGGTGGAAAGTGTCGGATGGGGCAGGGGGCGGAGCGAGGAGGATGCAAGGAGGAATGGGGTTTGCTGCAGCTACAAAATGTTGAGTTATGTTTTCATTCATGCCGTCGTGAGGCGGCGGGGGCCCAGGGGCATGGCGGGGGAGATGGAGGGGAGCAGGGAAGGAGAGAGAAGGAGAGGTGGTGTAGGAGGAGGAGCCAGCGAGATCCAGTGAGAGCAGGAAGGGAGCATGGGAGGGAGATGTAGTGTGGTTCATGCATGATGACGTTTGCAGTCTGTCGACAACTACATGAAGAGCCTTGTCGGCTTGCTCGTACTCTTGTCATCTGCCGGTGCCACACAATGGCAATGCAGTGTGAGTTGACATGTTGAGTTGTTAAGTCTCTGACGATGAAGATGAGCAGACTGTGGGCGCAGCAGACGGGCAGGTGAGAATGTGACGTTGTGAAGGAGCTTGACGGACTGAAATGCAGCTCGGGAGAATCAACACCGATGTCTTCTGCATCCAGTACTTCCAAGGGCAAGACACTAGTTACTGCTGTGACCACACCGGCTACTTCTGCATGCAGAGCAACTATACCATCTACAACCCCAATCACGTTGTGCAGGGCTCCTTCATGGTTGCTTTCCGATGTCTCCTTCTCCTCTTCCTCACTCTAGCCGCAGGCTGGAAATCTGACGAGCAACGTGGGTGAGTAGACAAGCTCGATCGAGGAGGGGCTGAACTGTCGAAGATGGGAGCGGGTCGGACAGGCCGACGAGCGTCAAGAAAGGAATCTGCTCAATGGACAAGTCAAGGGTGCGATCATCTTCGAGTGCCTTGTACCTGCCTGACGCTATCCAAGGTCCTCGGCTCCAACTCTCCCTCAGGAGTCAATGAGTGTGGAGCAGGGAGCACTGATCCCAACGATCCCGCCTACTGCATCGTTGTACTCGAGGCCGCTTGCTTGGATAACGGCCAGTGAGCTGCAGCCTGCTCCTTCAGCCCCTCCCCTTCACCGTGCTGAGCTCTCCTCTGCAGGTGTGGAACTGCATGTGGGACAGGCAGGTGATCTTTGCGACTGCATGGCCGCGAGGAGGCAGGGGAATGACTTGATGGCGCTTGCTCAGCTACGGTGGAAACGCCCAATACGGGTATCAGTGCATGAAGTGTGCGAAAGGATACTGGTCGGACAAGCTCCGAGCAGGCAGACTGTTGTAGCTGTTGCTCATACATTCGCTCACTTCGATGCAGGAGACTCGGACGCTTGTGTGCCCTGCCCCGATGGGACCTATGGCTCTCAGGTCTCCTCCTTCACCTCTCCTCACCTTTTGACTTCTCCCCTCCCCCCCCCTCCCCTCCTCTCTTTTCTTCTTTGGCCATTTTGTCTGTCTATAACTTGTCTCAGCCTGATGGGTGCTGCGCTTACAATTTTCGGGATCCAACTTCAGTGCACCCCTCATCCTTCTGCCTCTCCTGCCCCAGTAAGTCGAGCGGCGCCTTTTGCTCTCCCTCATCCTTGTCTGCAGTCGGCAAGTACAACCCTCTCTCTGGCCAGCCCTTCTGCTTTGATTGTCCTCCTGTGTGTGTGGGAGGGACGCACGAGGGCAAGTACTGCTCGACCGGGCTCAATAGCACAGTCCACCAGAACGGGACGCTCAGCCTAGGAGATGTCGCGCGGGTGCGGTTGTGAGAGGCCAAAGTTGTGACGCTGAGGAGGCGGTAGATTGGAGGTTCTACCTTCGTCATCGAGCAGGCGGTTTGCGTGAGCAGCGGAGGCACTTGCAAGCCGACCACGACTGTATCCTCCTTCGCCTCTGCCTGCTGCCCACTGCCCGCTGACCCTCGACCAGGCGCTTGTTGGTGCCACGACGCCATTGCAATGCGAGAGGACATGGGAGGGATATCCGGACCGCTACCTCCAGTGCAAGGTCAACCCCAACTGCGACCTCACAAAGGTGCCCTACTTTCTCTCTTGCCCGCGACGCTGTTGGTGACGCTTCCCCTACAGTTTCAGAACACCCTCTACAAGCCTCAACATCAGGATGCTCCGACTCTCTTCTGATCCCCGGCCTCACTGTGCTCCGCCCGCCCGACTTTCCCGGCCAAGTTTCCGAGGCACCCTCGTTCACCCATTTCAGCTTTTCTTTAGCAGCTCCACGAGCCTCCCGGAGCTCAGGAGCGATTCAATGATTGTTTCTTCAGCTGCTCATCCGGGAGTCCCCTGGAGCCCAGGCTCCGACCGGGACGGACTCGCGGGAGCGGCTCCCGAGGGAACGGCGACACGGCGCCGCTTGCTCAGCGGCTTCGCTTTGTACAGTAGACAATTTACTGCGACTCATGATCTGTCGGAGCCTCCGGCTGCCAAGCCCGGCCGGCGAGCCTCCGGGCCGCCGCCTCTGCCATCCTGACGGCACGGCGCCGGGCCGCGGCAGCGCGGCGCTTGCCGCTACTCAAAGTTACTTGAAGATCATTACGAGGACAATCAGGAGAGTCGCCCTGACCGGCGCACTGCAGGCCAAACGGCGAGAAGAGAAAAGACAGCGAGAACCAAACGTAATCCTGCCAACTGCTGTCCCCCAGGAACTTTCTAGTCAAACTTTTGCCGTAAAAGAGTTCGGAACTTTTGAGGGCCCGATTTCAAGATGACCATCACCCCACCCTTTCCATCATACTGACCCTACCCATAAACTTCCTGGCCCCTTCAATTGGTGACCCCACCCCCAGGGTTATCTCAAAATTGAGTATCTCTTGGACATCCTTATGTACCCCTACCCCTATTTTGATACTACTACCCCCAAGGGCTGTTTTTGTGCTTCTGCCACGTTTGGTCAGCCATACGTTTCCGTCAGCCATCTCGATTTACAGATTTCGGCTGCAGACTGAAAATGAAAATACTCCTTTTTGGAAATTACACTCGTTTTAAAATACTTTATTTGTCCCTTTCGTAGTAAAGTAGTATCCGACAGGTAGCGCCTCAAGACCCAGTTGGCGATCGATTACCCTCTCTCGCCAATATATTTCGTGGGTAAAGGACCCTTTCAATCTGAATCAAGTTGCCAACCTAAACTGGAACACAGAAAATTTTGAGAGTTGGCGTTGTCTTTGTGACCTGACATCTCTGTCATCCCGGTATGCCTCTGAGGAGGCCCCTCTTACTTATAAGTGTAATTGTGAAATGACAATCCAAAACCCACCCATGGGGCTGCCTTCTGGATTACTGGCCAATTGACCCCTTGGGAACCCCCGAAACAACTTCTTCAGTAGGGTGGGGTTATCGTGTTTGGGGTAGGAGAGAATGGGCTAGAGGTGAGGGAAACATCGATTATATCTTTAAGTGATTTGAAGAATCCCTGCTACCTCTCGCTCTAGGTTTTATATTATTTTTTTTCATGTCAGGGGTGGGGTCGAAGGAAAAAATGGGGGTAGGGTAGGGTCTAAAATGAAAGCTTTATAGACGAGACGGACAAAGGGTGGTACATGTGACAATGTGGCGGTGGTGGTGGTGGTGGTGGTGGTGGTGGTGGTGGTGGTAGGGTGGGGGGTGAGATCTATTCAAGAAGTCGTAGGAAGAAGCAGGGGTGGGGTCTTGTCGAAGTACCGGTGGAGGGGAAAAAATGTGTGCGTGAAGCGGGGGGGTGAGGGTGAATAGGGCTGCAATTTGGTGGTTTTCCTCAAGTGGTTAATAACATAAAAGTAGCCTAAAATAAGACCTCTGCTGGTATTCTATTGGAGGAAATAGCCACAAAACCAATCAATTAAGTGAAATATGTGTTAACAACCAACGTTGTTAAGCGACAATGGTGGAATCGGAAAGGGGGTGGATGATACTGAGCTGACAGGAGAGAAGAGAAAGAGAGAACAAAGACAGGAGGAAAGAAGAGCAGTGTTGGTGGTTGAGAAGGAACGCTCAGATTGGTTGCTGGAAAAAGGCAAATCAGCAAGTCTTCTCAAAGGCATTGATCGGCTGAAACAAAAGACGGAAGGCTCACCGTCACGTCTCCTGGGAGCGTCAAGATATCTCATCTTACCCCTAAACTATCAGGAGGCATCGGGAGAAAGCCTAGACAGCTGCTGTGACGAGCTAACAAGTCACTGAGACTGTAATCGCTAGCTCAAGAAATATACTAAAAAACAAGATCAACATACCCAGCAACAAGAATTCGTTCACAGGTATCATGCTTGTTGCTTGTTTTTTTTAAAGCCCCCCCTCCCCCCCCCGCCCCCCCCCCCCCCCCCCCCTACTATTTGCATCTCTCAGTTTCACACCTGATTTTCTATGTCAAGGATTTCTCTTTCAAATTGTTATTTCTGTGGCCTGTGTAGCTTGGTCAACAGCAGGTACGCCGTGGCGAGGGTGAACTGGCACTCGAGCAGACTAATTCTCTGTTAGTGCACCTCGAGACAGCACCTCTGCACAGTCCTGGATTGGTTTATCCAAAGATGGACGAGCACAGCATGGCGTGCGTTCCTCCTTTTCCATGCCAGCCTGTTCAGCGCATCTCCTTCGATGATCCAGCTGTGATAGATTTTCTTAGAAGGTAACGCATGCTTGATCTCAATGCAATGGCGGGGCGATAACTTATATTCCAGGGAGGAACCAGTCATTCTCTCCAATGTCTCTCTCGTTAGGCCTCTCGTTGGGAAGTGGAATGTCGATTACTTAAAAGAAATTTTCCCAATGATTTCCTCTTCACCGTTTTACTTCAGAAAGCAACTTTTTCCAGTAAGTCAAGTTAATCTGGTCGATTCATCAGCATTGTTTTACCGTTTCTTTAGATACTGGGACGAAGAGAAGAATGCAGGGCAATACGAATACACACCACCAACATCGAAGATTCAGGTAGACAGGTCCTACCTCATCTCGTGCTTAAATAGGAGAACAGATGAACTTCCATGACTTCGTCGAAACAATCCGACGGCCGCAGGGCCCTTCTCTCCCTGGCTCTACTCCAATGAGCGTGAGAAGACATGGATTGACCGGAGCAGGAGCTCTTCTGACAGATGTTATAGCAGTCTCATGCGGGAAGAAGGCATTACCTACAGCAGATGTTGGTGACAGGAATGGGAGAGGTCAGACCTTCATTGTCCTGTCTTCTTGTTTTGAACTCCGGGATCTAGAGGATTCTAGACGATTTTAAGCATGTTGACTGGGGCACTGTGTACGGGTGGAAAGCGCAGGTGCGGCAAGGAATACAGCGGGCCTAGATTCCTCACTAGTTTTGTGCAGTTGGGGTTTGGTGATTTGACGACCAATCTTCTGCTGGTTGGAACGACGGGCCATGTGACCCCCGCACACTATGACGAGCAACACAACTTCTTCTGCCAGCTTCAGGGACGGAAGTAAGTGCACAACGAGGCACCGTGAGCGGGAAATGAATTGGTTTCGTGTACCAGACAAGTCATGTTGTTCAGCCCGGCCGAGTGGGGGAAGATGTATCCGTTTCCTCTCCATCATGCATGTGATAGGCAGTCCATGGTGATGGAGGACGATTCGCTTGTCTTGGCAGGCTGAACCGCATGGCAGGTGGACGTGTTTCGGATGGGTTGGCCAACGTTGGACAACAATGGAAATTATTTCGGTCAGATGCCCAGCCACGATCGAATGCTCTTTCCAAACTTCGATCGAGCCTCTGGATATGAGGCCATCGTACATCCCGGTAGGAGAGGGAACGACGGATAAGGGGGGGGGGAAGGGGGCGCAGGACGAGGGAGCAGGGAGAGGAGGTGGGTTCAAATGAACGACGTTGACTTGGCACTGGAAGGTGAGATGTTGTATATTCCAAGCTACTGGTGGCATCATGTGATCAACCTGGAAGAGACTGTCAGCCTGACGTGAGCAGCCGATGCTTCTGCATACATGCAAGTGATCGAGTCTTCAGGTTTTGGTTCAAATGTCCTCCTGTTGGCGACCTTCGCCTGCCCATTTCACAAGTACAACGAGTTGCGCTGAGGTATGCGATCCTACCGCACCTTTGGTTGTTCTCCTTCTATCCGTCTCTTCCTCATATCTCCATAAAGTTCCTCCTCAGTTTCCTTCGTAACTCATTTGATGCCAGGCGGAACATTGAGAATATGTTCGGAAGCATGCTGGGCAATCGCAACGTGCAGGGACTCATGCTGAATCTGCTGCATGGAGCACTCACGCCCGAACAGGTGAAATCTGACTCATGTTTTCGCGTGATGGTTAACTATGTTGAACTAGACGAGAGCGGTAGAGGAAGTGAAGAAGCTTTTGCGGCATGTTTTACCTCCTGAGGAAATCAGCGCATTTCTGCAGGAGCTTGCGAGCAATCGATTTAATCTTCCAGTGAGAATGTGATACTTTTCAACTTGATGCTCTGGGTGTCCTCCTCCTCGCCCCTGCCCAATATCGGAAGCTGCTGCTGCTCCTGAATGGCCTCTTGTCCAAATTTCAAGTTTGATGTGCATCGAGATCGCGAGCAGGAGCATGAAGAATCGACGCGAGATAGCAGGTGGCGAGAAAGCCAGCAGAGACTTCGGCGAGGAGAGAGTCTGAGAGATCAGGTCAAGAGCCGCACGAGAGAACTACGATGAAGATCATCGTAGGTAGTTGATTGAGGGGGAGATAAAAGGATCAGGAACTGGAGCAGAAGCACGATTACTAACTTTTGGTTCTTGCTCGATTCGCCTGATCGCTGAAAAATCATCAGGTCGATGTGAATACGAGGAAAGGGTTACATGAGGGCAGCAAACTTGCAATCGACCTCTTCCCTTCTCCTCGCGCTGTCCTGTTCCTGTTCGCTTCTGTCCGCACTCATGCGGGCAGCGAGGAACCTGACGGCCTCTACTCGCCTGCAAGCGAGGTGAACAAGAAGGGAGGGGACACTGTGACTGATACATGATGGGAGAACGAATCAAGAAGACACAAGACAGCTAATCAGAGCAAGTGCACGCAAGAGCAAGTATGTAGCAGCAGCAGCAGCAGAAGCAGAAGCAGAAGCAGAAGCTTCACCCGCTCATGACTGCACAGTTGACTGGAGTGAAACCCATGGCATCGCAGAGCTGCGGGTCGGCTCCTTCCTCCTGTTCCCCGTTTCATATTTTTCAAGTCAACGGGTTGAAACTTACCAGCAGCACATCCAGACAGGACACATGCCCCTGCCATGACAGTATCATCAGTCACCCGCCATTCCTCCCCCTCCCATCGCTCAATGTGATTCAATCGATCCAACCCGCTGCTGTCTTCTCTCCCAGCTAGCCCCTCCATCCTCTTGCTAGCTCACCATCATCGCCGACAGCGCTAGCCCCGTCCTGCCATCATTCGTTTTCGCATTTGGATTTGCGTGGCTGGCAAGAAGCAACCTGAACCATGAGAGATTGAGCGCTGTTCCTTATCTCTCATCCCCCTCCTTAGTCGTTCATCCCTCTAAATCCCTCCTCAGCTCCAGCCCCTCCCCCCCCTCACTTCCTCCCCTTCCATGCACTTGCTTCCCCATTCAGACCTACTTGAGGCATTCGGCGTGTCCAGACACCGCAGCAGCGTGCAAAGCTTGCAGTCCTTGCCTGGGAAGGCTCACAGACAGCCCCTCCCTCCTTCAAGCTGCACCTGTTCCTTCCCTGCACGTCGACGTCATCCTCAATCAGCAGTCGCATCACCTCTGTCCTCCCCTACAAAGCATCGTCATGCATGACCGCATGCTTCTCCTTCCTCTACCTCAAGAGCAGACGCGTACAAACTTTCCAAGGACGCGGCATGCTTGGAGGGTGGAAGAGGCAACGGCAACGGAGGAGGAAGAGGAGGACGATGCGCAGCCGGTGACTCGAGGTCTGGCGCCTTTCTGACAACTGAGTGAGAGGAGGAGACGAGAGCATCGCCCGTCACATGCTGTCATGCAGTCCCCCTTGTTCTCCTCCTCGCTGCCTCGCACTCGTGCTGCATGCTCGTGGAGAGTCTCCTCCTTCCTCCTCCTGATGGTCAAGCTCCTCGCCCCCGCACCTCTGCTGCACTTCGATCTTGCGCTGTCGCCATCGCATGTCAGCCAACGTCGCACTGGACAATAAGGAAGGAGAAGCGGGGCCAGACGGAGGAGACTCAGCACATTTTCGGCATGTCAGAGCGAGGGGGTTGGAGAAGGCAGAGGCAGAGGCAGAGACAGAGACAGAGATAAAAGAAAGAGGAGGTCATCTGAAGTTGGGGAGCAGGAGCACCAGGAGGAAGTGGGGGAGGAGCCAATCATTGTCATCTCCGAAGGCGATCTCCGATGCTCTCCTCGTCTCTTGCTTCCATGTCAGCCTATGATCCTAGAAGCAAATCCCATGCTCACCCAGCATGGCCACCGCCACTGCTGCTGCCAGTCCTCGCGCAGCCGGTTGAGCGACGATGAGCAAACGATGGATTTCGTTCCTCCACGACATCTCATGCTCCGTCGACCTACCGCAGCATCTGCCACTTGGCAATCAGTGAGACCAGACAGAGAGTCGCACCCAGACGATCTCCTCCTCGGGCTTGTCCATTCTCCTCTCCTCCTCACCATTGTATCCTCTTCTCTCCTCCTCACCATTGTATCCTCTTCTCTCCTCCTCACCATTGTCTCCTCTCCTCTGCTCCTTTCCCTCTGCATCCTGTGTTCCCCCCATGACAGTGTTGTCGCATCTCCCCGATTTGGCAGTGCCAGGACAGCAAAGTGAACCTAGTGAGAATGATCGACCAGGAAACACTGTCCTCCCTCACACAAACTTGTTTATGACCGGGGGTGGCGGGATGGCGATGAAGCAGGTGATACTGGAGGGGTGGGAGGCAAGAGAGGAGAGCAGCAGCAGCAGCAGCAGCAAACATGAGGCAAAGACGAAATGGTCAAGACGAGCAGAGATGTCAAGGAGAAAGAGAGACCAGGGGTTGAGAAAAGGAGGAGAGCAGTTCTTAAGTAGATACATCTAGAAAGAGCGGAGGATAACCAGGGAGGGTGGAAGACTTGAAAGTTGAGGGTTGAAAGATGAAAGGAAAAAGGGAACATAATGGGGGAAAGTATGCCAAAGGGGGTGAGGATGAGGGGGTAGCAAGACAAGGGAAGCAGAATGCAGATGAAGACAGCGGAAAAGGAAGTGAGGGGGGAGAGGGGGGAGGTGTTCTGGTTCTGGTGGTTTGGAGGGGGGGGGGATGGCGAACAAGAAAGAATGAGATGATGAACGAAAGGTGAACGAAAGGCTGTAAGAACGAAATGAACCATCACGGGAATGAGCCAGGATCCCAGGGGTTAACAAGAGGCTTGTTGGGAAGGCAACAGGTCAGATCTCTTGTTGAGATATCATAAAGTGAAGACAAGGAGAGGAGACAAGGAGAGAAGACAAGGAGAGAAGACAAGGAGATAATACCGGATCGGAAAAACTATACGAAACTGATCTTGTAGCACCTTGGCTTTCTCGATTCACGTCTCCCTTGCCCTCCGGTTCAAACGTCCATCCCAGACTTCGTTGCCTCTTCCTGCCTGCTGCCACATTCCCTTCCTCTCTCCTTCTCCTTCCACACCCTCACCTCATGCACCGTCCGGTCTCTCCTTCCTTTCCACTCCCTTGCAACAAATTGACAAAATCGTTTGATTTCATTCCGTTCTAGTTTGTTGCACTACAACAACAAAACAAAAGGCAACAGACACCGGACAATATCATTGAAGCTGAAATTACGATTAATCAGGAAGAAACAACAAGTTATGCATGTCATTGAGCGTATTCTATGAACAAATACGATCCACATAAAGCAGTGCAGGGAAAGCTTTTCACTTGTCTAGGGCCTCCTCCTTCATGTTCAAGAACGACCAAGTAGGAGAAGGTTAAGAAGATACCTCATAGCCCAAGACCAAATGTGATATCTTGCCTATGCTCAGTGCCAACAACTCTGCAATGGATAGGACATTCAACGTTGAGTGCGTGCGTTTGATGCATTCGTTGAAAGTTGCTACCTCTCTCCACGCGTTTCTGCTTCTATCAGATAACTGAACTCCTTCGCCAAAATTCGCGGAACGACCTCTAGTAGCTGAGATGCACACACATCATACGCAACCTGCGACTATGTTAGCCCGCCTGTCTTCTTCTAATCGCCGAACCTGATCTTTGTGCCACGGGTCCTCAACATCTCTCTCTAGAACCCGGACCTTGGTCTCTGCCGTTGGGAACATGTGGAGGACCCAATCTCTATGCCTTGCCGTGATGCAGAAGATCGCAAGAGCCTCCTCCACGTCCTGGCCTTTAAGCATCTTGCTGCTGTGATTTGCGAGTGTAATGCCAACCTTCTTCATCGCTGTGATGCTGTTTGCTGAGGCAGGCGATCCAGCCTTTTCGTAATCTTCAGTGAGACCAGCTGATCTCACCACCCATCCTGTCTTCTCCTCCAGCTTCTCGACCTCAACCTGATGTCTCTCCGCCAGCCATCGCTTCGCTATGACCTCGGCCATGGGGCTGCGACAGGTGTTGCTGGTACACACGAAGTACACGATCTTGTTGACGTGCGTGCTGGGACTGCATTCATGTGTGCTGGAGGAGTCCAAGAGCGAAGGGAGCAGCACAGACAATGGCAGCGCACGAGAAAACTGACCCCATCGCCATCCTCCTCCCATGCTCTGGCAGGTCCAAGGCTTCTGCGCCACAGCAAGGTTTGCTGACCGCTGTCCCATTCTACCTGACCGTTGAGGCGAGCTTGCTCGGACTAAAAACGGGCCTGACCGTCGGACTCCGGGACCGGCGTCCGACCGGGCGCGCCCGGCGCCCGGCCCGGCGGCGGCCGGGCCGGCCGGGCCGCCGGTCCGATCACCCGACGGGGGCCGATGCCTTGAACTTCTGGCAAGACGGTCTCACGGACACTAACAGGAGCCTTCACAGTTGGTGATCGGACCTGACCCCCGGCCCCCCCCCGGGGCCGTTGCTCATCCTCCGAGACGGTGACGGAGGCTCCGGAGCACAACCGGAGGCTTCAAGTGACTACATCGACCTTGGTTGTAATAATGAGACAGTTTTTGCTTAAGACCGAGTTTAATGCACACAAAATCCAGAAATGAGTCGTCTTGGTTGAGTTCAAACTGAGTCAACTTACTTTTTTAGTTAGATACGATGAGACCGCCTGCGTCAAGTTCACAGTTATGCTGAGTGGGCAACTTTCAACCATTCAAGGATTGTCCATTCTGAAGAAGATTTTCATGCAGGGCTGTTAGATGTGCAGTACAGAGACTCTTAAGGGAGATGCGTAGCGAGCGGATGCAATGAAGAGAGATAGAGGATAAGATAAGAGTGAAGATAAGAAAGAACTCTGAGACGAGAGAAGTTTGCTCGCCGAGTCGCCACCGTAAAGAACTTGTGACCAGAGATTGCTGCCGGCGCGAGCCTCGGAGATCATCGGATTGGAACATCCGTTTCAAGGCATCTGAACCGATCCAGCCTTCAAGTAGCTCCAGTTATGCATGCCACAGCCTAGCTCCATGACATGAAACTTCCGCCAGATCTCCTGGAAGTTCCATTTGATCCTACTCAAAGATCAAGATTTCCTATTCGAAGATCAATCAAAGAAATTGTGGCTTTGGATGAGAGGCCTAAACTTGGCAACTTGCGGCTAGAGAGAGAGCCTTTATAAAGGTAGGAAGCACTTCGACTCCTACCACGCAAGCTCCCCCCCAATATGATGATGATCTGTCAGTACGGTCCGTCACTGAGACGCGGCAGTAAGTGACTGATTGACTGAGTGCTGTAGTGAGAGGCCCGGAACTTGAAAGCTCAATCAGTGATCCCTGCAGTGTCAGGCCCGGCCCGGGTCAAGCCTCCTCGACTCTCCTGATCACGGTCCTCGTTCTGATTTTTCACTTAACTTTGAGTAAAGACAAAAGATCCCTGCCTTTCAGAATGGAAGCAGCACCCCCGCATCCATATATGGATGCACCTTGAGGGGGAAGTAAGGGGTGGGATAGCCTGGGTAAAAAATCAGGGGGACATGGGTAAAGAATGTGGTGCAGAAGTGACCTTGCAAGTGAGGTGTGAGCGAGCAGAGAGAGAAAGGGAGAAGAAGAGAAGAAGAGAAGAAGAGAAGAAGAAGAGAGTCAAGACCATCGCCTGACACAAGTTCGAATACATTCACACATCTCTAAGATCATGCAAGGATCGTCCTGTCTCACTCTCTATCCTCTCGTTCTGCTGCTCCTCATTGACCTTGCCTTTCTTCCTCGCTGCCATGGGTACGCGTCATACATCGGCTGCTCAGGAAGCATCAGCGTGGGTACGAGATACCGGCATCATGGGACGGTAGCCTCCAGCAGCTCCGTCACGATTCGCTTGAGCTCTGCTGCTTGCGGGTCCTCTATCACAGCTGGATCGTCGCAGTCCATCAGCTTCCCCGCTCAGGCGAGTACATCGTGAGGACTAGCTCAGGAGGCTGCGGGGTCAACTCAATCCCATCGGTGAGCCTTCCTAGCAGTGGGTCCTTGACTCTCTCAGCCGTGTGGAGCACGGGAGGAACAGTCTACCGGGTCCCAGACTGCACCTACACCATCGCACCAGCCTCTTGTCCGGCAGGACAGTACATGAGCGGCGGGTGAGCTCTGAGGTGCATGGACTTCATCTTCTGACACGCCTTGTCCTACAGGTCCTGCCAGTCGTGCCCGGCCCACTCAACGTCGCCAGCAGGAAGCACTTCTGCCAGCGCTTGTCAGTGCTCCCCCGGGTATGAGGGATCAGGCTGTACCGCATGCCCTGCCGGCACCTTCAAGGACTCCTCCGGATCGGGTTCCTGCTCGTCTTGTCCTAGTGGCTCTTATTCCTCAGGAGCTGCTGCTACCTCTTGCACTCCATGCTCGTCAAGCTGCAGCGCAGGCCGATATGTATTCGCACCATGTACGCATTGAACTCTTGCTCTAGCGCTCTGACACTCGTGTTTCAGGTTCAGCCACCAGTGATGTCGTTTGTACTCTTTGCCCTGCCGGGCACTTCACTGCTTCTGCCACATCGTCTCGTACATGCGATCAATGTCCGGCTGGAACATACAACACAGCTCAAGGACAATCACTCTGCTTTCAATGCAGCGCTGGCTTCTATTCCTACTCTACTGGCGCCACTCAGTGCGATGCTTGTTTGCCAGGGAAGTACTCGGCCAATCCTGGCGCCTCCTCTGTTGCCGCTTGCCAAGACTGTCCGGCTGGAACATACAACACAGCTCAAGGACAATCACTCTGCTTTCAATGCAGCGCTGGCTTCTATTCCTCCTCTACTGGCGTCACTCAGTGCGATGCTTGTCCACCAGGGAAGTACTCGGCAACTGTTGGTGCCTCTTCGTCCATGACTTGTCAAGACTGTGAAGCTGGAAAGTATTCAACAGCCACTGGCTTGCCATCCGCGAGCTCCTGCAGTCTCTGTAAGGCTGGGACCTATTCCTCCTCGGTAGGAGCAACTTCAGCTGATGTCTGCACGAGTTGCCCCGCCTCGACCTACTCATCAAGTGCGGGAGCCTCGTCACCGAGCGCGTGCTTGAGTTGTCCTGCCAGCTCCTTCCAGACGAGTGCAGGATCGTCGGTGTGCTCCCACTGCCCTCCAGGAACCATCAGCCAAGCTTCTTCCATGTCCACTGTTTGCGCGCAATGCGTCGCAGGCACATTTGCAGCGAGTGCGGGCATTTCGTCGGATACCACTTGCACGCAATGTGCCGCGGGCTCGTACTCGGAACAGAACAAGGCGAGCACTTGCACTCTCTGTGTGGCAGGCAAGTACTCTCAAGCTACGGCAGCGACGTCTTCCAGCACTTGCATCAGCTGTGCCCCTGGCACAGCCTCTCCATCACCAGGAGGGAGCAGTCCGTCAGCATGCGTCCCCTGTCAGCCTGGATTCTATGCAGCAGCGAGCTCCTCTTCCAGTTGCACCATCTGCCCAGCAGGATCGTACGCACAACAAACACAGTCCACCTCGTGCGCCCTGTGCCCTGCTGGGACCTTCATAGGAACTGCTGGGGCTTCTTCAGCGTCCATGTGCTCAAGCTGTCCTGCCGGATCGTACACGGAAGGAGCAGGATCAACCGCTTGCACTCTCTGCCCTGCTGGGACTTACAATGAGAATACTGGCGCCTCCTCTTCCTCCGCCTGCCTGCCATGCAGAGCAGGAACGTATGGGCAGAATCAAGGAGCAAACAGTATGACCATGTGCCTGGAGTGTCCGATCGGCGAGTACTCGAGCTCTACGGGTCAGATCAAGTGCACAGCTTGTCCTCTGGGGACGTACATGAAACTGCCAGGCTCTACCTCTCTCACGAATTGTCTCTCCTGCTCTCCCGGAAGCTTCTCCGACGGTCCCTCAGCCTCCTGCTCGTGGTGCCTCAACGGGACTTACCAGGCGAACGCGCAAGCGTCCTCGTGCGACTCGTGCCCGTCAGGCATGACGTCGCTCGTCGGCTCCTCGTCCTGCAACATCTCGCTGAAGGACTTGTCCTGGGGGAAGTTTGACATGTCGACGGCCAGTAAGGTTGTGACGCTGACGCTGAGGTTCCCTCTGATCACCTCAAACTTCACCTACGACAAGGCCCTCCTGTCTCGCAAGGCGATCGCTCTCGCGTCTGGCGTCCAGCTCGACTCCATCGAGATCCAGAGCGTCGCCGCGGGCCCGACCTCACGCAGGAGCCCGTCGACAGACGTGGAGTACTTGATCGACGCCACGAGCTCAGACCCGAGCAAGGTGTTGGCGATGCTCGACGCCGGGAGGATCAACACGGCCCTGGCCGTCTACGGTCTTCCTCTTGCGCAGGTTCAATCCCCCGCCTCCTTGAAAGGCAGCCTTCCTCCTCCATCACCTCCAACCTCCAACAGCTTTCAGCTGTATGTGTATGGCTGCCTTGTCGCTCTTGCTGTGATACTGGGAGGGGTGATCGTCTGCTTCTGCGTCTACAACAGGAGAGGATGCTGTGAGGCTAAGCTGAAGGAGAGGCAAGCGAGAAAGAGGCTGTCGACCAGCATCGCTCCTCTTCTACCCATCACCATCAGCAATGCTCAGATGAAACCACGGGAGAAAGACCTGGAGATAGGAGAGATCCACTCGCTGGGCCAGACCTCATGCGAACTTGTCTTCCAGGTCGACGGCATCGCTCTCTTCAAGAAAGGCGAGCTTGTGATCGAGAAGACGCTCTCGAGCAAGAGCCAGTCGAAGCATGTTCTTCGAGCGATGTGGAAGCAGCAGGGAGGTAAGATCCGGACGGTGACGGTGACGTCCACCAAGGACAAGGGGGACAGGCTGCATGAGAGTGTGTGTCTGCGCGACGCTGTGAGGAAGGCAGGCAAGCACGAGCACATCGTGGAGCTGCTGGGAGTAGCGCAGAACGAGCCCGTGGGCTTCAACTCGCTGGTCATGGAGTTCTCCTCCATGGGATCGCTTGACCGCGTCCTGCAGACGGCCAAGGCAGGTGGGAGCGGAGTGAGCAACGTGGTGCTGGTGGAGGCAGCGAAGCAGGCGTGCGAGGGGATGCTGCACCTGCATCAGAACGGCATCATCCACTGCAACCTCGCTGCTCACAACCTGATGGTGATGAGCTTCCATGCCAGCGACTACCGGAGCGTGCGCGTCAAGGTCGCCGACTACCTCTCCTCGCTCTTCCTTCCCCGCCGGGGGGAGAGGACGCAGGGGCGCGTGAGCTCGAGGGAGGACGACGTGCGGTGGCAGGCGCCGGAGACGATCTCGTCGGGGACGCACTCGTCCAAGAGCGACGTGTGGTCGTACGGCATCGTGCTGTGGCAGATCTGGTCCATGGGATCGCTGCCCTTCCCCCACCTCAAGACGCCGCGAGAGGTGAAGGACCGCGTGCTCCGAGGAGAGGTCCCAGGAAGGCTGCCCAGCTCGACGTGTCCTGACAAGGTGTACTCGACCATGGAGCTGTGCTGGGGGCAGCAGCCGCACAAGCGAACCTCGTTCCTGCTGCTGCGAGCGATGCTCAAGGAAGTGGATCGTGAGGTGCTGGTGAGCAACGAGTCGAGAAGGTGTGCAGTGTGTCGGGAGGGAGAGCTCACTCGCGCGTTCCTTCCCTGCTGGCACAAGTGCGTGTGCGAGGATTGCAAGAGGACCAAGACTTGTCCCATATGCCGCAAGGCAGTGACAGGTACCGTCCGTGTGGCAAAATAGAGAAAGAGGGAGGAGCGGGACCTGACGTTTGACATGAATCTCGATGTTGATGCTTGTCCTATGTAGATAGTTGAGGTTGTCTCGGGTAGAGTCATCGTTTATCAACATGTATTAGTACAACCTGTATCAACTCATGCTGTTATGTTCCTGTTCGCGAGAAGCGTTGTCAAGATATATTATAGCCCCTGTCAAGTCATAGCGCTGAATCACACAGCTCCTAGTCTCACTGCCAGCCTTCAGGCTGCTCAGAGCCTTGACGGGTAGTCGACTTCTTGCTCAGAGCCATGACGGGTAGTCGACTTCTTGCTCACAGGATCTGGAGGTAGAACCTCTAGAGGGTTGGCTGTGCCCCTTGGCGGCTGCATTGGCTGACTGGAGGTGAGGGGAGTGATTGGAGCGGTTCTTGAAGCTGCTCGTAAGGCCGAAGATCGAGCCTTCATGTTTTGCTGCAGATATCCTAGGAACCTCGTGCACTGAGAGCTCGTTATGGTGAGCACAAACAACACTCATCAGCAACATGATCTCCTCAAGATTCTGAACATGTCAATCTCAACTGATGTGAACGGAAAACGATGCTCTGAGTTGTCTCCTGGCGATGTGTGACAAGTCTGGAACAATTAAGAGGGTACACGGACGAGGCGAGAGGAACACGTTGAGCAAGGATCCATGCAGGTCATCGCAGCAAGAACGGATCCAGCAGCCTCTTGTGTCTCTCATGTTGTGACCATGAGCGATGGCCCAACAACCATGAGATCACTCCAAGACATGCTCGCCATTTCCTTCCCGCAAATCAAGTATCTTTACTCAACTATAAGTAAAATCTGGATAGGCATTGGTAGTGACTGATTTTTTAAAAGTTATATTAACATATAAAACATTTTAAACTGGTACAAAGCAGCTAACACCATGGCGGCCCCCTGTCGCTCGTCGACGAGGACGAGGAGGAAGGGAGCAGCACATACTGCTTGCCTCGCATCCTCCTCCTCCTCCTCCTCCTTCAGGACAAACTTCCTCATGCTCTCTGCCGTTGTTCTCTTAGGGCTCGTCATCCCTTCCGGCTCAGCATTTTCGCTCATGCCAGCAGCTCGTTCAGGTAGTTGGCACATAACAACATTCGGAACAAGAGGCGGCATGATGAGCATGGCATGCACCCTCTCACCTCCTGCTCTGAATGTTGGCGTGAAATCCTCTCCCCTTCTATCCTCTCCCCTCCCTCACCTCCTCTCGCCTCCCCTCCTCTCATCGCGCTCCATCATTTTCTCTCCTCACTGCTTGGCAGGGTTCAGTGCAATGAGCGGCAGGTTGCCGGCTCCTCTGTGCTCGCAGCGAAGCAGACCTGCGCTGACAAGCACGAGGATGATGTTTGACCAGCTCACCGGCCGGCTCGACGAAACACTCAAGAGGCAAGAGAGCGAACAGGAGGATTGGGAGGGAAAGGAGCAGGAGCAGGAGCAGGAGCAGCAGCAGCAGCAGCAGCAGCAGCAGCAGCAGGAGCAGGAGTAGGAGCAGCAGCAGCAGCAGCAGCAGCAGCAGCAGCAGCAGCAGCAGCAGCAGCAGCAGCAGCAGCAGCAGCAGCAGCAGCAGCAGCAGCAGCAGCAGCAGCAGCAGCAGGAGCAGGAGCAGGAGCAGGAGCAGAAGCAGGAGCAGGAGCGCTGACCATTGCGAGCAGGCTGACCGGGAAGAAGACCATAACAGAAAACAACATTGAGACAGCGCTCAAGGATGTGAGACGATCTCTGCTCGAAGCTGATGTCAACCTGGACGTCGCCACCTCCCTCATCCAGGAGATCCGCCAGCGAGCAGTCGGCATGCAGGTAAACGTTCCAACTCCATACTCCTCCTCCTCCTTCTCTCCCCTCCCCTTCCCTCCCCCAGCCCCCCCCCCTCCTTGCTCCTTGCTCCTTGCTCCTTGCTCCTTGCTCGTTGCTCCTCCTACTCCACCTTTCCCGTCCTCCTCATGCATGCTCGACGTCTGACAGAGCCAAGGTGGTGGAGGGCGTGTCCCCCGGGCAGATGTTTGTCAAGATCATGCAAGAGGAGCTCACCAAGATTCTCGGAGGAGACGCGTCTCCTCTTGCCAGGGAGAGCAAAGGAGTTACTGTCATCCTCATGACCGGACTTCAGGCAATTCCTCCTCCTCTTCCTCCTCCTCCTCCTCCTCCTCCTCCTCCTCCTCCTCCTCCTCCTCCTCCTCTTGACCCTGACCCGGACCCTGACCCGGACCCTGACCCTGATCTCCTACTTGCATGCCATGCTGAAGCCTCTGGCAGGGTACGGGTAAGACAACTGCAACAGCGAAGCTCTCCCTCTTTTGCAAACAACAAAATCCTCCCCGCAAAGTGAGTAGTCGACCCGGTCGCTGTGTGTTGAACCCTTTCACTGCTCTTCTTGCTTCTCCTGCTCCTGTCTTCATCTTCCACACGCTTTCCGAGTGTATCTCCTTCCATTATTGCTGATCCTTCTCCTGTCTGCGCATATCCTTTCGAACTCCCTTCCTCTCCTCTTTGCAAATCATCTCGTCGAATTCTAAATATCCTGCCAGGTCCTGCTTGCTGCCTGCGACGTCTACAGGTGGAGGAGGACGAGGCGTCTGCTCTGCAGCTGAACTTCTGCAGGCCAGCAGCGATTGAGCAGCTGGAGCAGCTGGCAGCTCAGACCAACACATCCGTCTTCACCAAGGTGAGGACACAGACAAGTCAATGAAACCATCTGCATATCGCCTTCTTCCTTCATCTGCCTATCGCCTTCTTCCTTCATCTGCATATTGCCTTCCTCTCCCTCCCTCCCTCCTCTTTCAACATACTCCGTCCTTGTCCTTGTTTCTGCTCCTCCTCTTTCCCCTCCTTCTCCTCCCCTTCTCTCACCCATGACTCCTGCTCCTCAGGGTCTGGACGCAAGTCCGGTGGACATTGCTAGGGATGCCTACAACTATGCCACGATTGTAAGCTCAGCCTCTCCCAGCTCCTGCCCAGCAGCCCTCTGATCATGGTCTTGCTCAGAACGGGTTTGACACCCTCATCATCGACACAGCTGGGCGTCAGGTGATCGACCAGCCGCTCATGAACGAGCTAAAGGCCATCAAGAACATCGTTCAGCCCCAAGAGGTCAAGAATTTTTCACTAGCTCCTCCTCGCCTCAAGCCCCACTACATGCTGCTCTCCCTCCAGCTGTCGTCCAGCTGACCTCTCTCTGTCATACTGAGCTGCCTTCAGGTCCTGCTTGTCGTCGATGCCATGACGGGACAAGAGGCCGCAAACTTGACAAAGGTTGTAAAGTGCTCGCTTGCATGCAGGCAGGACATGATATATATTCCAGGCCTTCAACGATGCAGTCGGCATTACAGGTCTAAGGCTTCCTCCTCCCTCCTCCTCCTCTTCCTCCTCCTCCTTTGCTCTGTTCCTCCCTCAGCTTTCTCCTCCTCTTGTTCTCCATGTCTATCCGCTAATCGTCAGCTCACATCCCGTCCCTGTTCTCTCCTCGCTCCTCGACTCGTTTCTTCGCCCGGCTCTTGCCTCCTTCTCCTCCTTCTTCTCCTTCTTCTCCTTCTCTTTCTCCTCCTTCTTCTCCTTCTCCTCTCACCCACCACAGGAGCTGTGCTCACCAAGCTCGACGGCGACACGAGAGGCAAGGAGGCTTCCAGCTGCTGCTGCTGCTGCTGAGCTCTCCATGCAGGAGGTGCTGCTCTGTCCGTCCGGCAAGTCTCAGGAAAACCCATCAAGTTCGTGGGAGTAGGAGAGAAGGTGAAGATACATCCTCCTCCTCGTCCACCTCCCCCCGCTTCCTCTCCCCTCCCCTCCCCCCTCCAACATATTCACAACTTTCCCCTTCTTTTCATCTTTCTCTCAGACTCTTAACTGCGTTGAAGGTCGAGGCCCTCGAGCCATTCTACCCTGACAGGATGGCGTCACGTATCCTTGGCATGGTTGACGATCTTCCTTGTTTTCCTCTCCCTCTCCTCTCCCTC